ACCTATATATAAAGACTGGCACCTTCCTCATCTCAGAAATCTCATACGAAATTAAATATTTATTTCATGAATTATTGATGAGTCTGTTAGGACCCCTAGGTGAATATGAAAATCAATATCTTTTTTAAAAGTTTAGAGCATAAAAGACATTACATTTAGTTTTCAGAATTAAAACTTCATAACTTTTTTACTTTTTATGTCTATTGGATTTTCAGAGATCACTAAGACTGGAAATCCCTCTTTTTTGGGATTTCTCATCACACAGGCAGAGGTTACTCATCACCCTTACCCTCTGTTTACATCTGTTTTCTTCATCAAAAATCACAGACATTTGTGCCGGCAGCTTTGGAAAGTGCAGAAAACTGTTTATGTAGTTAGGCTGTTCCAGGAAGTCCCCAGCTACTAGGTGGTAGTGCTTTCTTAATCCTGTTTTCACAATATCGAAACATTTCCAAGGGTGATGTCATGTCACTGGCAGAGAAACTTTTCCAACTGAATCTGTTCTTTTTTCTTTCATTTTTTTTCAAGTCACCCAGGTATTCAAGGTCATAGTGACCCAAGCATTGAGGTTTATATGCACAAAATTAGAGTCCCTATTTTTACTGCAGATCAGATTTATTTCTGAAATGACTTGTTTTCATGTGTATATTAGATGATCTGCTTTTCTTATGTCTAACTTCTGTTTGTATATAAATACTACCAATTTCATAATGATTTACCTTAAGAAGTACATTATCTGATATTTAAAAGAAAAAAGTTAGGAATTAAAATAAGCATCTTATGATGTGTTACTAACAGTAAATAAGTTTCAAGAATAAAAAGCAAAACTTCAAACCAGAAGTCATGGTTTCTATCTAAAAACTGATTTATATTAGATTATACCTAGACAAGTATGAAGACAATTATGTATAATAAATAAAAAACATATTTCAAATAAAATGTTAATTTAAAAGCAACAAAGTTGTTTATACATCATTATGAAAACAAATGAAAAATATGAATGCTCAAAGGTACATATTGCAAGGACATAAAGACTGAAAGCAACTATGAATGAAAACAAAATGAGATGTAGTGGGATTATAAGTGATTTTTTAAATTATTTATAATTTAAAAGTTGTTCTTCCTAATAGCATGAAATTTCAAGAAAGTAACTAAGAAATCTTTACATACTTTGGTCTATAAACACATTATCAACAATTTATCATTTATACATTATGCACATTTTTAAATAAAAATGGTTTAAATATTAACATTCATGAGGTTATGGCTCAAAACCACTGACATTATAATCATTCCTTACTAAATAAAATAACTAATAAAGCTAACATACAAAATATATAAAAATCCTTTCATCTTTATGATGGTTAAATAAAAATGGTGTATCTAAAAAGAGTAATCTGCTTTTTTTTTCTTCATTATCCTAGGTAAAATGTGATATTTTTTAACATATTACTAAATAAAGTGTTGGCATTCATTGAATGCTCATTTATATAGTCCTTTCTCAAATTTTATATTATACCAAATATAATTTTACAATAAAAAATTACTTCATTTTTGCTGCCAAATAGAATTATAAGGTCATGTCACAGAAAATATAATGGGATCATCATACTGCTTGAAATGCCAGAAACAGAGAGCCCAAACTAAAAATGTTGCTCGGAAGACTTAAAATTTCTTAGTACATACAGAACTTTCTAAATGACTAAGGACTAGAGTTAGTGTTCTTATGAGAAGTCTTTTAATCACTTTGTAAAACTACCAGCATTACCCTGGAAATCTGGAAAAAACTGGTGAATACAATGAAATCACTGAATACCAGGCCTCAGTCAAAATAGCTAAATTTTTGGGACCAACCACCCTCTTAAAGACATTTAAGTTTGATTACATTATTACATTACCAAGGAGAAATAGCACACTATTTAGTTATAGATGTCTGGCTGTAGAAGTTCATTTATCTGTCTAGGGACAGTTACAGGGACCCACACATATTGCATGAATATTTTGCCCTGCCAGAAAAAAATCCACTTCACTATTCTCAAGAATAATGCTACGTCATTGTCCTATTTATAGACCTTGACATTCAATCACAATTTATTGAAAGACTAATATATGCTGCACATGTGTTGAAGCCTGGCAAAACAAAAAGTGAACAGGATAGATACGATTTCTATAATACCTAGGCTTACAGACCCAGTAAGAGACAAAAATTTAAAACAGGTCAATCCTATCCCTGTACAGTGTGTGGTATTATGTTCTGTGATAGACAAAGTTCCAGATATTATAAAAGCATGTAGGAAACTTGAGGAGTAAAGACTAAGCTGACACCTAAAAGATGAATGGCTCAGCAGGTAAAGAATCCACCTGCAGTGCAGGAGACACAGGAGACATGGGATCCATCCCTGGGTCAGGATGATCCCCTGGAAGAAGGCATGGCAACCCACTCCAGTATTCTTGCCTGGAGAGTCCCATGGACAGAGAAGCCTGGCAGGTTTCTGTCCAAAGGGTCACAAAAGAGTCAGACACAACTGAGTGACTAAGCACACACAAAAGATGAATAGCACTTAATAAATGGGTAAAGCAGATAGGAATTAGGGTCAGAGGATTCCAGAACAGTGATGTGCATATATAGAAGACATGCAGACAGAGGAAACATGAAAAGTTTGCAGTTTAAATTAACTCAGTATGGCAGGAGTTGAGGGAGAGAATGAGAATGAGAAATGGTGTATAGATATTATAGTATCAGGAGTAGGAGAGTAGATGGGATGGTACACCGGGGACACCTAAATCAGAAGCAAACTTCAAAGGAAAAAAAAAGAGCTTTACAAAACAAGTTGAGAATGTGGAACTTCATACCTAAGACTATAAAGGGCAGCACACAGGTTGAGTAATGTGACTGGGTTTTTGCTTCTGCAGAATACTCTATGTCCAAGTTGCTAGCAGATGACTGTTATCGGTGAAAGGTTGCAGGTGGCCTGAACTAAAAAGTTGCTCTTGACTCTAAGAAAATTAGTCAAACCACCATGCACAGAGTTAGAAGGTATAGTTCTTGGATTGGATGGTTGGTTTAGTCACGCAGTCGTGTCCAACTCTTGAGACCCCATGGACTGTAGCCTGCCAGGCTCTTCTGTCCATGGGATTTCTCAGGCAAGAATACTGGAGTGGGTTGCCATTTACTTCTCCAGGGGGACTGAAAGAGAGAGGCATCTACAGCCAATACAAACACCAGGTGTGGCTAATCAACTGGGTGGAAGAGGGAAAGAACTGAAGGTCTTGAGCTCCATGTCTTATTTGACACACAGATAAATCTAACAATTGGGCATTCAAACTCAGAGCTCAGGAAAGATGGAAGCTACAGCAAGGGATTTGAAAATAATCAGCACTGAGAGATTTGCTGATTTGGGAATGAAGCATATTACCTAAGAATGCAGAGAAAAGAATGTCTCCGACAGATACCTATAGAATACTAAAACTAAATAAATTGTTTTAGAATAACTAAAACAGTACAGGAAGAGGACCATCAGACCCCAGAATTTCACTACACAAAGTGTTAAGTTTTAAAAATTTATATTAAGGGACTTTCCCTGGTGGTCCAGTGGTTAAGAATCTGCCTGCCAATGCAGGGGACACAGGTTCAATCCCTGGTTTGGGAAGATCTCACATGCCACTGAGCAACTAAACCTCTGTACCACAAATACTGACCCTGGGCTCTAGAGCCTGAGAGCCACAACTACTGAGCCTCTGCACTGCAACTACTAAAGCCCACATGCCCAGTCTGTGCTCTGCAACAAGAAGAGCCACTGCAATGAGAAGCTCTAGCAATACAGCTAGAGAGTAGCCCTCACTCGCCACAACTAGAGAAAGCGCACCCACAGCAATGAAAACCCAGCACAACCAAAAGTAAGAACATAAATTTTATATATATGAATGAGGAATGGCCAGAAAGTTATTAGACAAACCAGCAGAGCATGATGGAAGCAAAGGGAAGTATTTTAAACTGAACCAAATGGGAAGAACATCATCAAATGTTATTTCTGAATGAAAGATAAATGAAAGCTCTTTAGTGTCTACTCCTCAACAAGAATATCACAACACAACACTTTGGTGAAGAGCAATAGTCTCTAAAGAGTGTGGCTGTGAGGGGAAGGAAAATGTCCTACATTGCTGGGAAGCAATGTAGATTGAGAAGGATGTTACAGTTTGTGTTGGATAGGTTCATAGAATGAGAAAGACTTAACGTCTTTAAAATGCTGATGAGAAGGAGAGACTAGAGCTGGGAAAACTGTTATCAGACAGATAAAGGAGTCCATAGCCAAGGTTCTGTAGGAGGGCTGGAATGTGATGAAAAGCAAGGTGGAAAGTAACTAGAGAAGGGTAATCTACTTTCTCCATTTTTATGGTGGAAAGGCTGCCAATGTGGGCTTTTCCTTGACTGTCTTCCCATGCATATAGCTTTTATTGGAATTCAGGCTTCTCACTCTTCTGAAATAGCAGACTTCATCTCCCATCTCTCTTCCCACAACACAAATTTATCTAATAATCTCTTTTCTATGTACTTATGGGTAAGCCAAGCATCATCTTGGTATCCCAGAACATTGTTTTAAGCACAATATCACTAACCATATATGTGTATGTTTGTGTGTATATGTGTGTGCATATATATATGTATGTGTATGTACATATGTATATATATATATATATACAAAACAATTCATAAATAGACATTTTTCCATTATGATTTATCAGAGGGTATTGAATACCCCATCTATACAGTAGAACCTTGTTATTTATCAAGCCTCTTAAAGATATTAAAGGAGGAAGAGGGGGAGGAAAAGGTGGGAGAGAAGGAAATGGGGCAGGGGGCAGAAAGGAAGGGAAGGAGGGAGAGGGGAAGAAGGGGGAAAAGGGGAAGGAGGAGAAGAAGTCATTCTATCAATATATACTTCTCTGTAATCTATCCTCAAGAAATAAAGAAACAGAGAAAGGTCTCCACTGTGACTCACCTTGGTGGGCCCATTTCCATTAATCATCACTGGTAATGTTTCATAAAATACATTTTTAGCTCTGGCTTTTCCATTTTCAAATTTCAAAACAACTTCATCTGGATTTTAAAAAAGACAGATTTTAGTCATTTAAAATGTGTATGTATGTGTTCATATACACATATACATGTACACATCTATCTATACATTTTAGTTTATTAAAAATTTCTCATGCATACTATTCCATATGCCACACTTTGAGAAACTTTGCCTGCTTCAAGTCAGCAGATATCCAAAATGAAGGACAACACTGACACAGATGCAGATTCTAAGCACCTAACTTTCTCCAACCTGGTGCTGGCAAACTGAGCTAAGACACTGAGAGGTCTTGGTTGAAAGAAGGCATCTTCGCAATACCGTCTCTATCTTTTGAAAGTGATGTAATCCCAAATGAATTAAACTATTGTCTCAATTTATTCATCTGTAAAATGGGATCCTTGCCTGTTTTTCTAGGTTATTATGAAGATAACAACAATATATGTCTAGCAAGTAGAAAACTGCCATGCAAAAGCTAGGTTTCTACAACTGGCCATCATTGATAGTACTTCCAGTTCTTGAAAATCAGGCCTAATGCTAATTCCAGGAATACATAAGTCAGCACAAGGAGCTGAAAGTAGGAGCAGAAACTTTTTTTTGTTTTCAAGCTCCTTTCCTCATATTTCCAAAGCACTCCGAACTAAATGCCTTCCACTCTAAGAATCTTTTTATTTATGAACTGCCTTAAAGAAGTATATCAAATTGCAATATATTTTTAATTTGTGAGGTATTAATGTGTTAATGTATCAGTGTATTTTTTAATGTATCAATTAATTAAATTTAATGTATTCATGTATTTTTATCTAAATACATGTCTACCAGGAAAACACATACAGGCATGCACACACACATACCACACTCCACAGTGTACATGTCTCATTACCAGTTACTTTTAACCTAGGTTAAAATAATTTAATACTGCTGAGTAATTCACAATATTAAAAGCTGATACTTAAAACTGTAATAACAAAGTGTAATTAATTTAAAACTATATCTAGAGTCCCCATAAATCACTAAAGTTTAAGTTACCTAAGGCTGAAATTTACCTTTTTGTACTATTCTTAGGAAATGATTTCAACTGAATGCATTTATATCAAGCTCAGCTTAACTCCAATATTTTGCTTAACAGTTGCAGTACCTTCATGTCAACCTTGGTTATAGCTCCAAAATGAATATAAAAAAATGATAAACAGTTGAAAACACTGGTGTTCATTTGCATACATGAGTAACCCACTATTTAGGAAGCATACCTACAGCTCCATTTAAGGTCTGGAAAATTTTACATTTGTGATCCAATGTGATGTTAATAGCTTCCTAAAAATAAGAATGAAAAAAAAATTTAAAATGCAAAAGAAACATCAAACAACACTATCATGTTGATATAGTTTGCTCTTTGGGGGAATATAAAGATCTGAAACACAAATTATTCCAATAAACTTCTTCAGAAAGACCCATATTATGTGTTATGTTAAGCTATTGAGGTTGGGTATTATTATTATGCAACCCAACCTCATAATTATTATTATGCAGTATCATCTGTCTGACTGCTAAAACAGGTTTATAAGAAGAGAAACAAAAGGCAAAGGAGAAAGGGAAAGATATACCCAACTGAATGCAGAGTTCCAGAGAATAGCAAGGAGAGATAAGAAAGCCTTCTTAAGTAAACAATGCAAAGAAATAAGAAAACAATACAATAGGAAAGACTAGAGATCTCTTCAAGAAAACTGGAGAAACTAAGGCAATAGTTTATGCAAAGATGGGCACAATAAAGGATAGAAATGGCCAGGACCTAACTAAAGCAGACGATATTAAGAAGAAGTAGCAAGAATACACAGAAGAACTACACAAAAAAGGTCTTAACGACATGGATAAAAATGATAGTGTGGTCACTCATCTAGAGCCAGACATCCTGGAATGTGAAATCACGGAGGCCTTAGGAAGCATTACTATAAACAAAGCTAGTGGAGGTGATAGAATCCCAGTTGAGCTATTTAAAATCCTAAAGGATGATTCTGTTAATGTGCTGCACTCAATATGTCTGCAAATTTGGAAAACTCAGCAGTGACCACAGGACTAGAAAAGGTCAGTTTTCATTCCAATTCCAAAGACAGTCAATGCCAAAAAAATGTTCAAACTACCGGACAGTTGTGCTTATTTCACATGCTAGCAAGGTAATGATCAAAATCCTTCAAGCTAGGATGCAGTTATGTGAACCGAGAACTTCCAGATGTACAAGCTGGATTTAGAAAAGGCAGAGGAACCAGAAATCAAATTGCCAACATCTGTTGGATCAAAAAAAAAGGAATGAGATTCCAGGAAAACATCTGCTTCATTGACTACACTAAAGCTTTTGACTGTTTGGATCACAACAAACTGTGAAATAGTCTTAAAGAGATGGAATACAAGACCACCTTACCTGTCTCCAAAGAAGACAGGTAAGAAACCTGTATGCAGGTTAAAAAGCAACAGTTAGAACCAGACATGGAACAACAAACTGGTTGCAAATTGGGAAAAGAGGTCATCAAGGCTGTATATTATCACCCTGCTTATTTAACTTATATGTAGAACACATCATGCAAAATGCCAGGCTAGATGAATCACAAGCTGGAATCAAGACTGCTGGGAGAAATATCAACAACCTCAGCCCCGCAGATGATACCAATCTAATGACAGAAAGTGAAGAGGAACTAAAGAGCTTCTTGATGAAGGTGAAAGAAGAAAGAGAAAAGGCTGGCTTAAATCTCAACATTTAAAAAACTAAGATCTTGACATTCGGTCCCATCAATTCACGGCAAACAGATAGGGAAAAATTGGAAACCATGGCAAATTTTATTTTCTTTGGCTCCAAAATCACGGCAGATGGTGACTGCATCCATGAAATTAAGACACTTGCTCCCTGGAAGGCAAACTAATCATTAAACATTAATTTACTTTACAACCTAGTTCTCAATGGACCAATTTTTCAGGTACATTGCTCTGAAATTATATTCTTAAAATTGTCTTTGTATGCTATTACAGATGCAATGTTTGTGTTCCCTAAAATTCATATGTTCAAGACCCAAACTTCACCCTCTATCTCTTACCTCTCTCCACCATGTGGAATGAAGCAAGAAGGTGGCTGCCATCTACAAGCCAGGAAGAGAGTTCTCCCTAGAATCCAACTATTCTGGCACCCTGATCTCAGACTTCTAGCCTCCAGAACTCTGAGAAAACAATTTCTGTTATTTAAGCCACGCAGTCTATGATATTTTGTTATGGCAAACCAAGCAGAATAAGACACGTGCTAACCACATTAAATCTTATGCCTAGAGAAAACATAAATAGGATTTACACAACCAAAAATACTACAGACCCAGCAGTGAGATTTCATAGGAAGGATCCTAAAGCAAAAACAATTAAATAACACTCAGAACACTTTCACTGTGGAATTACACTCAGAAAGACAGGCATCAAGCTGCAAGGGCTAGCACTCATGCCAAAAGTAGGTTTCTCCTCTCAAATGAGAGATCAAATCCTCAGGCTGGTTGTGTCAGGCACATAAGAGACAGTAAAAAAAAAAAAAAATTAAGAATAAAGTTTCTTAAGAAGTATCTAATGAAAATATTTAGATAGTATTTATCAAAAATACAAAAGCAGACACAGTGCAAACTCACTCTAAAATATACTTTAGAGGGAGGAGCCAAGATGGTGGAGGAATAGGATGGGGAGACCACTTTTTCCCCTACAAATTCATCGAAAAAACATTTGAACACTGAGCAAATTTCACAAAACAACTTCTGACCACTAGCAGAAGACATCAGGTGCCCAGAAAAGCAACCCATTGTCTTTGAAAGGAGGTAGGACAAAATATAAAAGATAAAAAGAGAGACAAAAGAGTTAGGGAATGGAGACCCGTCCCGGGAAGGGAGTCATAATAGAGGAAGTTTCCAAACACCAGGAAACCCCCTCACAGTTGGGTCTGGGGGAAGTTTTCGAATCTTGGAGGGCAACCTAACTGGGAGGAAAAATAAATAAAACCCACAGATTACATGCCTAAAAGCAACTCCCAGCAGAAAAGTACCCCAGATGCCTGCATCCGCCACCAGCAAGTGGGGGCGGAACGGAGAGGAACAGGCAGCATTGCTTAGGGTAAGGACCGAGACCGAATGCCCTGAGGGCAATCAGAGGGAGCTGACTTGAGATAGCAACTTAAACTGTGGGATAGCAAGAGAGAGAGAGAAAATTAACCAGCCTGAACACACTGCCGGCCGTTCGCATAACAAAGGGACTGAACAATTCCAGAGAAGAGCTAGCCGGCTGCGGACTGGCCCATCCCTGCCAGAGGCAAGAGGCGGGGGGAGGGGAAAGGGGCAAACTCAGCCCAAAATGGCACCCCCTACCAAACTGCAAACAGGCCTCCAGTTTCTAACCAAAGACTTCCTGAGATTCTGGATGGTCGACATCCGCCGGGAGGGTCACGGCTAGAGGCCAGCTCCCAAGAATAGACACAAGGCGCACGCACAAGACTGGTGGGCTCGGAAACAGACTGGGACCGCGGAGGGGAGAAGGCGCACCACACCTGGGGAGAGCACGCCCGTCAAGCTCCTGGCGGCTTGAGCTGCTAGGGCTGGGGAAGGCACAAAACGCAGGACCAACCGAGTCTGCGCTTTTGTGGAATACCTGAAAACTGCAACCGCATGCAACGCAGGGCCCGCTCCATATAGAGCAGCTGGGAGCCTGAGCAGTGTAGACGGGGAGAGCACACACCCGTGAGCGGGGGCAAACCCAGTGTGGCCGGAACACTGTGAGTGCTCCCCACACAGGCCAGCGATATCTGTCTGCAGCGCCCCTCCCTCCCTGCAGCGCGACTGAACAAGCAAAACTACCGCCCGCCTGTGTTGGGGCGGAAATTAGACACTGAAGAGACGGGCAAGGAGAAGCCAAATAAACAAAGGGAACTGCTTCAGAAGGGACCAGTGCAACAGATTAAAATCCCTGTAGATAACACTGACTACACCGAAAGGGGCCTACAGATATCGAGAAGTGTAAATTGGAATGAGGAGCTATCCAAAACTGAACCGAACTCACACTGACCGCAACAGCTCCAGAGAAATTTCTAGATATATTTTTACTTTTTTTTAAATTAAAATTTTTTTTTCTTTTCTCTTTTATTTTCTATTAAAATTCCCTATTACTCCTCCATTACTCCTTAACTTTCATTTTCATTTTCATATATATTTACTGTTTTTTTTAATTAGGAAAAAAATTTTTTTTCTAGTTTTATTTTTTTTCTCTTATTGTCTTTTAAAGTCCTCTATTACTCCAATATTTCTCCTTAATTTTCATTTTCATTTCACTATAACCTTGCCAAAAAAAAGGAAAAGCCATATTTTTAAACCAAACTTCATATATATTTCTAAAATTTTTTGTTTTTTTGTTTTTAATATTGTATTTTTAAGAGTCTAACCTCTACTCTAGATTTTTAATCTTTGTTTTTCAGTATTTGATATCAATTTTGGACATTTAAGAATCCAATATTCAGTACCCATTTTTACTCAGGAGTGTGTTGATTACTCTCTCCCACTTTGACTCTCCGTTTTCTACCTCAGAACACCTCTATTTCCTCCCTTCCCCTTTTCTTCCCAATCCAATTCTGTTAATCTATGTGGGTGTCTGGGCTACAGGGAACACTTTGGGAACAGAGAACTGCATAGATCTGTCTCTCTCCTCTTGAGTCCCCCTTTTTCTTCTGAAGCTCATCTCTATCTCTCTCCTCCCTCTCCTCTTCTTCATGTAACTCTGTGAACCTCTCTGGGTGTCCCTCATGGGGGAGAATCTTTTCACCATTAACATAGAAGTTTTATTATCAGTGCTGTATAGTTGGAGAAGTCTTGAGACTACTGGAAGAAAAAAACTGAAATCCAGAGGCAGGAGACTTAAGCCCAAAACCTGAGAACACCAGAAAACTCCTGACTATATGGAACATTAAGTAATAAGAGACCATCCAAAAGCCTCCATACCTACACTGAAACCAACCACCACCCAAGAGCCAATAAGTTCCAGAGCAAGACATACCATGCAAATTCTCCAGCAACACAGGAACATAGCCCTGAGCATCAACATACAGGCTGCCCAAAGTCACACCTAACACATAGACCCATCTCAAAACTCATTACTGGACACTCCATTGCACACCAGAGAGAAGAAATCCAGTTCCATGCACCAGAACACCAATGAAAGCTTCCCTAACCAGGAAACCTTGACAAGCCAATCATCCAACCCCACCCACTGGGAGAAACCTCCACATTAAAAAAGAACCACAGATTACCAGAAAC